TTTTATCTGAATCTCCATCTATTCATTGACAAGGTAGACTAGATCTGTAATATAGAAACTAAATAATATGTTTTATCTGAAACTTCATCTATCATATTATTTGGTTTCTATATTACAGATCTAGTCTACCTTGTCAATGTTTTATCTGAATCTTCATCTATAATATTATTTGGTTTCTATATTACAGATCTAGTCTACCTTGTCAATATTATATCTGAATTTTCATCTATCATATCATATTATTGAGTTCTCTTGTTATCAGAATGTGTGAAAGATAATAAAAACAACTTGTAATTTTTTATATCCAAGCTAAGATACACTTACCGAGCATTTTGCTGACATAGGGTTCAACATCGACATCTTGTAGATGAGTATATGTTTGAGCATGGTACAACCTAAGAGTGCTGTCCAACCGTATGGCAATCCACACTCCATCCCCTACTCGTACCATCTGTCGAACTTGGCTTTCTTTTCTAGGATGTGCATCAAATGTCTTCTGTAAAGCAACAAACACCTTTTGTGAAAAGAAAAACCAAAATATTCACTACTATATTCAGGAAAAACATTAATGAAAATAAAAACATCATTTACAGAAATAATAAAAATTTAATATTCAAATCTACTTGATTCATTAACCTGATTAGTTAATATATTCTTATTATTTGAACAAAACTAATTTTCAAAGAGATTTAAATTTTTGACATTGAGAGAAGAGCACAGTTGTTCTTAATTTTACAATATAAAAAGTTTTTATATATCAAAATCACTGATGGATTGACACAGGTTACATTCAGCTAAATCTTATGTAATTGTTGTTTTCTCAGTGCATTGCTGTGCAATGAAGTATAATTTTGCCACTAAATGTTTCATAATTCTATTTGTTCCGTGGAATGCTACTGAAGCAGTTGATATGCACAGTCAGGTTTGTTTAAAGTTTTGCTGTGGAATCAGTTGGTACTAACAGTCAGGGCTTAAAGTTTTACTGTGGAATCAGTTGGTACTCACAGTCAGGTTTAAAGTTTTACTGTGGAATCAGTTGGTACTCACAGTCAGGTTTAAAGTCTTTGCATCTAGAACTTGAACTCGATTCCTGTGACCACACCACAAATGCTCATCTACAACAGACAAACATCTAATTGACTGATGAGGATGACCCAAGTCTACTATGTGGTAGTTATTCAGGTCCCACTGTCCATCTGGGGAAAAGAATTATAAAATATGGTTCATTAAACAACATTCAGGAAAACATTACTTATATATATCAATATTGTAATGATATCTTTTATTTTTAATAACATACAGTCTGTACAAAAAAAGATTATTGGTAAGTCCACCTGTATAGCATCCATAAAAGTAGAAAAAAATGTAATAATTAGCCAAACCAGTCCAACAACATATGAAAAATAGAATAATTTATTTGTCCTAAGTATATTTTCTTATAATTTTGGGTCGTATACAAATAATGCATGAACATTACAACAGATTCAACCAAGAAAACCTTGAGATTGTGACCAAAGTCAGGCCATAATATATGACTGGAAAACATGAGAATAAATCTTCAAACAGAAAGATAATCTATTTCATTATTGAGTTCAATCAATTTAATCACTGTGTGTGCTAGTAAAGAAAGTACGGTGTTACACTAAATGTTTTTAAGTTTTGGAACTAAAGTAGTTACTTCCAGTTGAAGCAGTGTTTTTTGTAAAGAAAAAAAACACTATCATATATTACAAGATCAGCTTTGAGAAATTACTTAATAGGGGATATCACTATTTGTTTGTAAACTTTGGAACTAAAGTGGTTACTTCCTGGTGGAACAGCATACTTTTGTAGAGAAAAAAAAACACTATTATTTACATTACGAGGACAGCTTTGAGAAAATTATAGATTCATTCAACCTAAAACCTAGATCAATAAGTATTTCAATGAAAATAATGTTTTACTTATTGTTGTAAAATATATTCTTCAGATCAATAAGTATTTCAATGAAAATAATGTTTTATTTATCGTTGTAAAATATATTCTTCAGATCAATAAGTATTTCAATGAAAATAATGTTTTAGTTATCGTTGTAAAATATATTCTTCAGATAATAATGGGGTTTTTACTTAATTCCATGCTGTACTTTTTGGTTTAGTAAGGACTTTTGTTCAAACTGATTATTTTGTCACTTTTATCTCTCTCTCCCTGTTTGTCTCATTTTTTTCACTGAATGATATACATACCCAGAAACAAATGACATCTTTTAATAGTTAAAATTCATACTTTTATAACTGCAATTACTTTTCTTGTACATAATGTTTTAACAGTCAATATTAACAAGGAAATATATATATATATATATATACAAAAAGTGTTTCTTTAAGGTCTGTCTCTCTACCAATGTGGTGCTTGTATCTAATTTTCAAACAATTCTGTACAATATTATACTTGGGTCTACCACTATCATAAAGTCATAATGTATGTTTATGTGCAGTACCAAAGAGCATCGAGGATGACCATCTGAAAAAACACTCAAGGGTGTCTATCAAAGAATTACTGTTTGAGGTTAATTACAAAAAAGTATTTTTAAAACAGCATATCAGGGAAAGCAAAGTTAAGTATCACTTTCCAATAGATTGTGACAAAAGCAGTATTTCATAGCCCTAAAGTCTTTATGAAACATAATGTCTACTGGACATGGGACTCCATCGATCAGATTTTTCTGTTCATTTATAACAAAGAAGGAATCTATTTAATATTGATATACCACTGTTTAGTAAAACAGAATCTATTTAATATTGATATACTAGTGTTTAGTAAAACAGAATCTATTTAATATTGATATACTAGTGTTTAGTAAAACAGAATCTATTTAATATTGATATACTAGTGTTTAGTAAAACAGAATCTATTTAATATTGATATACCACTGTTTAGTAAAACAGAATCTATTCAATATTGATATACAACTGTTTAGTAAAACAATCTATTTAATATTGATATACTAGTGTTTAGTAAAACAGAATCTCTTTAATATTGATATACTACTGTTTAGTAAAACAGAATCTATTTAATAATGATATACTACTTTTTAGTAAAACAGAATCTATTTAATATTGATATACTACTATTTAGTAAAACAGAAATAACATTTTTAATTGTTCTTATACATGACATAAACACGACCATAGTACAGATTCTCTGTTAATTTACAACAAAAAATGAGTCTATTTTAGATCAATATACTAGAACATAATAAAACAGAAATAACACTATTATCTTTTTGTATGACACAAACATGACCACAGTATAAATTTTTATGTCAATTTATAAGAAAGAAAGAATCTAATTTCAACACCTTTATCCCCAACCTCTTGAAACAAAATCTAGTCATGTCACTTTTAAACAGAATCTTTAACCTCTGCTCTAATAAATCTAGATGTGTCACTTTTAAACAGAATCTTTAACCTCTGCTCTAATAAATCTAGACGTGTCACTTTTAAATAGAATCTTTAACCCCTGCTCTAATAAATCTAGCCGTGTCACTTTTAAACAGAATCTTTAATCTCTGCTCTAATAAATCTAGCCATGTCACTTTTAAATAGAATCTTTAACACCTGCTCTAATAAATCTAGCCGTGTCACTTTTAAACAGAATCTTTAACCTCTGCTCTAATAAATCTAGCCGTGTCACTTTTAAACAGAATCTTTAACCCCTACTCTAATAAATCTAGCCGTGTCACTTTTAAACAGAATCTTTAACCTCTGCTCTAATAAATCTAGTTGTGTCACTTTTAAACAGAATCTTTAATCTCTGCTCTAATAAATCTAGTCATGTCACTTTTAAACAGAATCTTTAACCTCTGCTCTAATTTCTCTATTTTACATGGATAAATTACACTTCTGCACAAACTCCTGTTAAACAATGCCTATCCAACTGACTTTCTAACCTATATATAACTTGTAAACAACAAATTACATTCACCCACTGTTTTTTTAACATCTTCAAATTTTCCCTCATTATCTACCTTCCTTTCATTAGCTCACAGACTTTACAAACTAAAAAAACAACTCTCCTCCTTGATTAAAAAGAAAACTTCTACACCCATGCTCAACTCAAGACTAATATATAGACTTAGACGCCATATTAAATACTTCCTTCAATATAAATACATTGGCAAAACAACACACAACTTTAGGGGTATCCAATAGAACTGGCTGTCCATTACATAAACTCAGCCACTCAGCTATTTGTTCACATGATTGAACTACAGGTCGCAACATTTCCAAAAATGATTTCTACTTCACTATTATAAGATCTTCAGACCTTGTTTATTCTAGATCTTAGAGGTTACATAAATGAAATCTGAATATTTTCAGCTGAGGAAAAGTATTTTTGATCTTGACATGAAAATTACTTTGCACTCAGAGCAGTCAACACTCTGACTCCATATATTCATGGACAAATCTTTAGTGAAAATAGTTAATTAAAATACCCGATCTTCTGTTTACAAAAGACTTGTAATGTTTACTGAATGTCTGCCAAATTTCATGAAGATATCCAAAATATGTTAAAAGTTATAATATGGAAACTCTAATGACTACTTTGTGGTTATAAAGTTGATCAAATCAACAAACCCCATATGGAAACAGTTACACCAACTGCGCTTCTAAAATTTTTTGTGATAAACAGAAACTTAAGAATTCAATAATCAAACCCAATAACTTATACTAACCTGATTTTGATTCAAAATCATCGTGAAAGTGTTTGGTATCTGTGTGTTTGTATCATAGGCCGTAGAGACAGGGGAAATGTTATTATGAATCACATCATAACACAAATTAAATGGTTAAATTACAAAACACATTATTTCAGTTCTGGAAGAAACAAATAAATAAACAGAAATACAATAACATGTTTTTAAGTGTGACCATCCCATACAATCTTTCCACAGAAATAATCTAAATGCTGCTTTTGTAAAACTGCAAACTTTAATTGTACATTGTCCATGCATCATGTCACAACTGGAGAGAAGAAAAAAGTTATAATACTTAAATGTTCTTCACAAATGTAAAAGTTGAATAAAATGGACATCTAGCTAAAAGGAACATGTGCAATATAAAGTGATTAAATGAGAAATAACCATTTTATTTTACTATACCAAAATAATAACAATACCTTCACATCTATGGAATACTGCCACAGTTCCATCAGCAAGTGCTGCAAATACTCTCCCTCTAGTGTGGCTGGAAAAAAAAAAGTTGCGTTTCACTTTCATTATGTCTTTAATCAAAATATTATATGTTAACTGATGAATTTTATGATACAAAAACATTTTGGAGTTTAGATGACGGATCATTTATTTACCTCATAAATTAAACACAAAAAACAATATACAGCCAAGAATGAAACCATATTACAGAGACCCTCCTAATATACTTTACACACAACACAGGGGAAAAGCCAGGGTGATTAAAAACTACCCATCCTTCAAGCACTGTAAGAATCATTACATATATTCAGTATAGCCTAAAACTGGTGCAGGATGTTTCCAACCATTTAAGTCACTTTTCATTCAAATTAGAACTGCTTTAATTATTCTTCTTTCAAGAAAATGAGATATTGAATTAAATGTGTGTAAGTGTGTAGAACCATGTGACATTTGTTTCACTGTGAAAACAGACTTTCCATTCTCTTTACAAGAATATAAAAAAAACGCTTTGAGATGTTCCTTCTGTAAAAGTTGGTCAAATTACAGTATGGAAAATAATAAAAAGATCTTTAGAAGCCTGATAACAATGGTGATCCACCTTTGTGACTGGACTTTCAGTAGATCAATGAATAATGTACTTAGGTAGAACACTTTCACATTAGTGAATAGGTGAACTCAAGAAATAGTTTCATCTACAGCAGCTCATAAGACATCTCTCATGATCCCTATGTTATTGTATGATGTGGCTTCACAAACACATTTATCACCAATCCTTACTTATCTAGTTTTTGTGAAAAATTGCTGGGTTAAATTGTTTCTGTAAATGGAGTATATTATTAGAAAATAAAGGAAAAAAACCAACTTGTTATCCAATTCTTGCAGGAGTTGTGACCCCTCACATTCTAACACACATTAACTGAAGACAGTTATAAGCTGTTCATTCAGACGGAAAAAGCTGGCAAGATCACCAGCACATTTCTCCAAGAAATCAGGTTGTTAGAATCAAATGATGTTTGCAGTAGTTGCATTTAGGGTTAGATTTGATCTTGTAATGTTGGTGGTGACATATGTAGTTAAGGTTTTGTCTTTTTTTGTATCTATGTGTGGCAGTATAGAAGTTTCTCTCTTACTGTTAACTTGTGGTCGTTTCTGATAATGACAGGGTAGAATACTGCAAAGACATACAGAGTTGTCCAACAAGCCTGGTGCTGGTTTGAATACAATTTTGTACACTTTTTAATGATACAGTGCTGTAGATATATTTGACATAGAGACTAGTATCTCTTCTACTTGATCATTTTAAACTGCTGGCTCTAATTATTTCAATAACTGAGACTGAGTAATTGTTCAAACCACATGCTGTGATATCATAAAATAAAATAAATGAATTGGAAAACCAGACATTGATCATGGTAATTAATATAATGATAGTTTCTCAGCAAATATAAACTTATATTTTCAGAAGAGCAGAAAATTTCTAATAAAAATCAATAAATGCATTGTTTACAAGTAATCAGAGTAGTACATAAATCAGTCAGAAAATATGTAAAATTTCATTATAAAATAAATAAACGTTACGTTATACTAGAATATCAATTCTCAAATATTTTTTAAATAAAGAAATTGTTGAAATAGATTTATAATTATATATATATATATATTTTTTGTTATGTTTTTCAAATTGATATGCAGTTTTAGATTTAATTGTCCACACCAGCAGCAATGTGGTCAAGGTAGCTTGGTCTGGCTAAAGAATTTCATATATCAGGTTTGCACGTGACACTTGAATGGTGCAATCCAGCTTATAATCATTAAACAATGACTTTACCTAAACAATACTGAGTAAACTCTGCTTTATAATTATAAGATAAAGAGTTTGCTACACAACACTGAACACCGAGTCATTAAGCTTTATAATTATTAAACAAATTTACCTACACAATACTGATCACTAAGTCATTGAGCCTTATGGAGAGTAAACACTGCCTTATAATAATTAAACATAGTTTACCTACGAAATACTGATTACTGAGCCTTATGGAGAACAAACACTGCTTTATAATAATTAAACATAGTTTACCTACACAATACTGAGCCTTATGGAGAACAAACACTGCCTTATAATAATTAAACATAGTTTACCTACGCAATACTGAGCCTTATGGAGAACAAACACTGCCTTATAATAATTAAACATAGTTTACCTATGCAATACTGAGCCTTATGGAGAAAAAACACTGCCTTATAATAATTAAACATAGTTTACCTACACAATACTGATTACTGAGTTATTGAGCCTTATGGAGAGTAAAAACTGCCTTATAATTATTATACAATGAGTGTACCTACACAATACTGAGCACTGAGTCATTTAGTCTTATGGAGAGTATACAACGCCTCCAATGAGCTACTGCAGAGTGTATGTAGATCCTATAAAAAAGAAACAAAACATCTTTATAATTAAAAGTGAACAATAACAGCAAGGAACATAAAAATTTAGAAGAAAAAATAAATTGTATAAAACATTCACAAATAAAAACATTGTAATAACCTACCTGCCTTCACTAATGTAGAATCCTTACTGAATGAAAAGTTGGACCACAGCTAAAACCATTCTGTAGAAGTTATTACTCTTACTGAATGAAAAGTTGGACCACAGCTAAAACCATTCTGTAGAAGTTATTACTCTTACTGAATGAAAAGTTGGACCACAGCTAAAACCATTCTGTAGAAGTTATTACGCTTACTGAATGAAAAGTTGGACCACAGCTAAAACAATGATGTAGAATCTATTATCCTTACTGAATGATAAACTGTACCACAGCTAGATTCTACACCATTGTTTTAACTTTTCATTCAGTAAATATAATACCTGTGGTCTAACTATTCATTTAGTAAGGATAATGTCTGTCGGCCAACAATTCTTTCAATAAGGATAATAGATTCCGCACCATTGTTTTAGCTGTGGTCCAGATTCTACACCATTGTTTTATTATCCTTACTTAATGAATAGTTAGACCACAGATAAAACAATGGTGTAGAATCTATTATCCTTATTAAATGAATAGTTAGACCACAGATAAAACAATGGTGTAGAATCTATTATCCTCAATGAATGACAAAATAGATAACAGCTAAAAACAAGATATATTTACATTCAAACCTTTCTGGAATAGTTATCACACATAACCCTCTTGGTACAGTTGGAACAGGGAACCAAACAAAATTAAACTTAACCTATTAAATTGTATCTAGTTTAAAAAATGTCTCAGAATTTCATTAAATACCTTACATATTCTAGATTGCAAAATCTACTATTATTCTGTTGTGAGACACTGTTTAGCATAAACAACAACATAGTGTCTTAGAATTTCATTAAATACCTTACATATTCTAGATTCTATAGTTCTGTTTAGAATAAACAATAACATAGTGTCTTGGAATTTAAACACTATTGATCCATCTTATATTTCAACATAATTGATGTTCATTACCCTATTTATTTAACCAATTAAAGCAGTCACCACATCCAGCTATAAGTCACAAACATTTATGGTAAAGATCAATTTATATCTAAAAATACAGATCCTTTTCACCACATAAGTTATTTTATTTGTGTATGTTGTTTCAGTATAACAAGATTAACATTTCTTTTCCCGTTATCACCTTAATCACAAATAGTTTGGATTAGCCGATATTTTTGTAAGTCGACAATTTTTACAACTGGGTGGCTGGTCCAGTCAGCAACCATATATGATAAGCACGTTTGACCATGGCGATTCAAACTTATGACCTTTAGATTGCAACACAAGAGTTCTAACTACCAGGCTATGCAAGGGCCAAAATTAACAATAATATTCATTACAAAATTATATATTTCATTCAACATATTGAACTCCATGTAACTCATATGTAAAACACACTACACTGTACTTCTAAAACTGCATTATATATTTCACACTCATGTAGATGAATTACAACATCCTATCTCATCTAAGATCTATCTGCCACACCAGTTGTGACAAAGTCAATGATGAAGATGGATTACAACATCTTCTATTTCATCTAAGATCTATCTGCCACACCAGTTGTGACAGGATCAATGATGTAGATGAATTACAACATCTTCTATCTCATCTAAGATCTATCTGCCACACCAGTTGTGACAGGGTCAATGATGTAGATGAATTACAACAACATCTATCTCATCTAAGATCTATCTGCCACACCAGTTGTGACAGGGTCAATGATGTAGATGGATTACAACATCTATCTCATCTAAGATCTATCTGCCACACCAGTTGTGACAGGATCAATGATGTAGATGAATTACAACATCTTCCATCTCATCTAAGATCTATCTGCCACACCAGTTGTGACAGGGTCAATGATACAGGATTTATCTGCATCCTTCATAGTGAAGTAAAACAAAAGAAATTTACAAAACCTTTATAAAACCTAACCCATACAGTAGGTGAGCTAATGGTGTAGATACACACATGTGCTCAAAAGTTGAAATATACAGCAAGTAAGAAAGAAGTACACGACTAACCTATTTCAGCAGGAATTAAAAAAAAATAAAGGTGAAAAATCTACCTATTTCAGTAGGAATTAACCAAACCATATAATAAGAAAGAGGTAAGACCTATCTACTGCAGTAGGAATTAACCCCACAATATCATAAGAAATAGATGTAAGACCTACCTACTCCAGTAGGAATTAATCAAGCCATATAATAAGAAATAGATGTAACACTTACCTACTTTAATAGGAATTAAAATAAATCATACAAGAAAAGGTGCAAGACCTACCTACTTCAATGGGAATTAACCAAATCATATAATAATAAATGTGTGTAACATCATTCTACTTGAGTACTTAACTTATCTACTTAACCAAACCATATAATAAGAAAGGATTGTAAACTTACCTACTTCAGTAGTAATTAACCAAAACATACAATGAGAAAGAGGTATAAGACCTACCTACTTCAGTAGGAATGAACCAAAACATATAATGAGAAAAGATTGTAAAACTTGCCTACTTCAGTAGGAATCAGCTAAATCATACAAAAAGAAAGAGGTAAGACCTACCTACTTCAGTAGGAATTAACCAAACCATATAATAAGACAGATGTGTAAGACCTACCTACTTCAGTAGGAATTAACCAAACCATATAATTCGTAAAGCACTTCAACTACCTAATACACAGCAATAAGATAAAATGCTTCATGTATGTAGGACTTACCTTCCTCGTTGGGATCCTAACCACACAGTTGGTAAAGCACTGCTCATCTCTTCCAAGTTATCCAAGTCTATTGCCTTATCTGGTGTTTCGACACATTCCTCCTCTTTTATCAATTCAGATTCTGTTATTATTTTCCAGGGTTTCTGGTTATCATTCTTCTCTGTAATAATGCTATTTTTGGCTATATACAGAAAAACAAGTTTCATATACCTCAAATCCTGAAGATTTAAAATAAATACATGAACATTAATGCATAAACTGAAATGATTTCAACTTAAATAAAACTATCTATCTAATTACAAATATAACGTATTATTATATTAAAAAATTCTTTTATGGATGAGATTATTCTTATATACATGTTCCTACTACACTTTTGAAAGATGATGTTACAAGCATGAATCAGCCAGCCATAACAAGACACAACATGCAGTACAAGACTAATGAATACTTTCAATTTCTTAGAAAGCCACTATATTAACCACCCAGCCATAGGTAAATGACACAAGCAACATATGAGGTCATCAAGAAATTAAGGTCGCATTTTGGAACACTTTCATTAACCACCCCACCCCCCAAAAACATGCATCATGTATAATAGTTAAACGAACCACCTAATCGTCACGTTAGTGTAGCCTATCTAATGTGTAAATTTTTAGTATACTCTAATCCCTTATAGTGATGGTACATGACAAGACACACATTCAGCATCTAATGCTGTTTGAATACAAAAAGGGAAACAATGCCTCTGTAGCCACAAGCTCTATAGTCAGCACCTGGAACATTTTAAATAAAGCCCTTCATGAGAAGTGCCCTTCATTTGTCAAGCGGAAAGGTGTTCTTCTTCTCCACGACACGTTTGACGCAACACAAGATTATGGAGTAGGGTTGGGAAGTTCACCCCCACCCACCATATTCTCCAGATATGGCACCATCAGATTACCTTCTTTTTCGTTCGCTGCAACACCATCTTAATGGAAAAACATATGCAAATGTG